GTAGTAGGTGGAACAATGTTTTGTATAGTATGTTATGCCACTTGAGCTTGATGTCCCCTGCGGCTATGGTCCCAAGCCCTCAGGATCAACTACTCGGTCCCTCTGGGTAGCTGGCTGTGTGATGTCTGATTTCTTGACTACTGCTTTCATGGGTGTTGATTGTGGAACCAAGTAATATGAAATCTTTGGCAACTTCAATCTTTTCTCCATTTATTGTGATGCTGCTATTGGTCCAATTGTGAGGATTTTTGTTTTCTTTATGTTGAGGTGCAATCCATACTGTAGACTGTAGTCTCTGATCTTCATCAGTAAGTACGTCATCATCTTCAGTTTCAGCAAGCAAGGTTTTGTTGACTGCATATCACACTTATTCTTTTAAAATGGAAACACAGAAGAGTAGCATATCCCCAAAGATATGTGTCTCTATGCTTAGAAGTGCTGTTGAGAAATGTCAATGTATGTCTATTGAATCTAGAATCATAACAATTTTAGATGCGGGAAGAATTTTAAAGTTTTGATAATCTCAAAAATGAAAGTTGTAGTGGGACAAAATACTCACTATTCAAATACCATCCAATCAAGAATTGAAATTGTCCTTAGAGTTTTGGATAATAAACTTGAAAAACAAAGTTATCTTTAACAGCCTATCTATTTTTATTTTGACTAAATGTTATCTTGAAATAATTCAGTGTTGAGTTATTTTAGTGCCCAGAGATATCCCATATTCAAGAGACAAACAATAGTTATTGATTCTAATAAATATAGACAATTTATATCCTAGTTTTAATTAGTCTATTCCAAAAGACTTACTTGAACAAGGTTCACCATCAATGCGGTATCCTGCCCTTCCAAATCCAGCAACTATGTTATTTTGTAAAATTGTATTGGTCCCTTTATTTATCTAGTGCAGTGATAAAGAGAAAGCTTTGGTTTAGACTATTGCATATTGTACAATTATGTTTACAACAAGAGCATGTATGTAACATTCATAGGAAAACCTCTAATTATGACTACACTTTCAAAAGAAAATATTTAGTTCATTGTTTACCTCATTCCAACAAATTATAAATGAAGTATTGAAATTACATTAGATTCTTGGTATAAAATCATCACTAGATATTCTATGCAGGACTTGTTCAGAAAACTGCATTAAAGAGATTATTTTTATTTCTTTCATAGAATCCACTGGCTATAGTTTAACATTTATTAACTATAGATCAAATATATTCCAGAAGATTACAAGTACTTTATCACTCTTTTTTTTTGTTATAATCTGTTGCCAATTTGATTCATTAAAATGACCATAGGATTCAGTAGAATCATTCATTAGTTTAAATAAAATCTGCTATTATAAAAAATTAGGTTAGCATGAATGTTAGGTAAATGCTAAACAATTTGACCTCATAAACTAAGCCAAAGTGGTAAAGTAAAAGTGGAAGTAAAAGCATAGGGCAGAGAAAGGTTAATTCCTGCCTATGGTGTGAGCAAAACAGTCAAAAGCTTTGTTCATTTAAAGCATACTAAATACCCTAATTTTTAAATTTTATGGAAAAACTGAGTCAAGTGGAATTCATAAATATACAATAAACATCTTTCAAAAGCTACAGTTAAGCATAAAGATTAATTGACCTTTGATTGCATTTAACTTCTATAACTGGATAACGAAATGCACTGCTGTGGAGTCAGATCCAACTCATAGCGACACCTCTTTGGGTTTCCAAGGCTGTATCACTATGGAAGTAGATCGCCCAACCTTCCTTCTGAGGAGAAGCCGGTGGATTTGAACCTCCAGCCTTCTGGTTAGCAGTCACATGCCTTAGGCATTATGCCACCAGAGCTCCCATAAAAAGATGACAAGAGAACATTTTTACCTCATAAATGCATACTAAGTTTCAAGCTTTTAGATTTAACTTTAAGGTAATTATCAATAGTTGTGGAAAACAAACTCCGATCCTTATCCCACTTTTGGAAAGTCTTATTCTAAATTCCTTTTTTTATGGATAGATAAATAATATAAAAACAAGAAGAAGTTATCTTCTCCTTCAAATCCTTTCTCTGTACCTTTTCATTTTCTTGGTTGTAATTTTGCTTTCTTCACTCCTCAGAAGGAAGATTGGTCAATCTACATCCATAGTGATACTGCCTTGGAAACCCAAGGAAGGGTTGCTATGTCAGATTCGACTCGATGGCAGTGGGCTTGGTTTTGGTTTTTATAGAATCATAACAATTTTAGATGAGAGAGAGATTTTACAGATTCTATAATCTATCATTCTAATTGTTCATATGAGGAAGGAAACTAAATCCAGAGAGTTAAGTAGTATGTTTAAGGTACTCAGTCAACTAGCAGCAGCAGGACTCTGAAATCAGAACTCTAAAGTGATGAAAAATGTTGAAGAAGCAAGGAAATAAAAACAACTTGAACAAGTGGACATCAACAGAAAGAAAAACCCAACAGTAAGTACCATATTTTTCCTATATAACATGCCCACACAAATAATGTGCATGTATATAACATGCATAGCATGCATAGGAAACTAATGTATGTCGGGTTGTGTGTTTTGCAAAGAACTGTACAACATGCACATTATTCCCACAAACATGTGGTAGAACCCTGGGGGTACAAACAATTAACTTAAAGGTCAGCAGTTAAACTTCCCCGAGACATGATGATCTACTATCATAAAAATTAGAGCCAAGAAAACCTTATGGAACAGTTTTACTTTGTCATATGGGGTTGCCATGAGTCGAAAATGACTCCAACACAAACAAGGGGGGGCTCATATCTTTAAGAAAGTTCATTCTCATCAATTTTATCTATGGAAGAAATTATTTTCAATAACATTTTGAGATTTACAATTTCTGCATAAACTATAATTGCCAAGAAGGCAATTATAAATTATAAATTTGTTTACACTACCTCAATTGCAGCATGCCAGAGAGTTGAACTTGAATCTTTTCTGTTCTGATAGGTTCCTGGCCAAATTGAAAGTGAAATCAAATTTCCTCGAAGTCTATTGGCATCCCCCCATATTCTTATCCCTGTTAAAAAAGAAAGACACAAAGAAAGAGAAAGATCAAGTACACCCCAAAACGCAGATACAAATTTGTAATGGATACTATGAGGAATGTCTAATTTTTCCATGAAATTATTTGCTAGATTTGCTTGATAAATGATTCCCTCAGATTTTAGAGTCAGCACTACACCTGCTGATAGTGAAACTCTACCTCTCTGATATGCTACCTGAATCAGAATCTCCTGGGGTGATTGTAAAATATGTGGAATCATGGGTTCCACCTCAGATTTTAACAAACACGTGCATTATTTTTATATACATGAGATACGTTTTCATCATGCTTTATATTGATATTCAAAATAGGAAAACATGTCTCAAGTTTTATGTAATTTTTATCAAAACAATAACCTCAATTTATGAATAATCTTTGTTATTGATATGTAAAGAATATTTAAAAATTAATAGTAATTCAAGCTACTAGGGATTAACTCATATGTAATCAGAGTCTCGTAATAATTCGTCCATGTTCAAGGGCTTCACTGTCCAATAGGGTAGCCATAGCCAAACCCCAAGCCAAACCCACTGCCATGGAGCTGATTTTGACTCATGGCAAGCCTTTAAGGACAGAGTAGAACTGGCCTATAAGATTTCAAAGGCTGCAAATCTTTACTGAAGCAGACAGCTTTATCTTTTCCCATAGAGCTGCTGGTAGGTTCAAACCACCATCCTTTTGGTTAGCAGATGAGCACTTTAACCACTGTGCCACCAGAGCTCCTTCACCATAGCCACATGTAGCTATTTAAATTTAAATTAAGTACAAATTACATTAAGCACAATTAAAATAAAAAATTCACTCCCTCAGTTACAGTAGCCACATTTTAAGTGCTCAATCATCACACGTGGCTTATTAATTACCGTATTACCAAAAAAACATATCAGGCAGTGCAGATACAGAGCATCTCCATCCTTGTAGAAACATCAATCGTACAACACAACTCTAGGGTTTGCAGATAAGACTCTTTCAAAAAACATGTGATTAGGACAAAAATATTATCATATTACCTTCCCCCACTGTAAAGTAAATGATGTTATCATCTATGTCCAATCCATCGGTCCCAAACACACCAATTGCTGGGGAAAAGCTATGGTGAAAAGCACAGCCTCGAATATAAGATGAGCCATTTTCTTGAATCTATAAAACATTGGGACTCAGTGAACATTTTAAAAGTAAAACTGAGACATGTTTAAAGAAAAATATTTGTAGGATAATTTTCAGAAGTCAACCCTTGACAGATAATTTATTTACTGTTAAAGGAGATGCTTTCTCAATAAATCTTTTCTACCTGGGAAATTTCCATACACCTTGAATTCATGATGAAATAGGGCAAGCAGGTTTGTTTGTTTTTGTAATCTGATGCACTTTTCTATGCATTTTTATCTTTTTATCTGTGCCACTTTCTCTATGGTTCTTTCACTGACCTGAAATAAATGCGTGAAATCAACTGCTGCCGTGAGTCAAAACGATTCATGGAAAATGTATCCAAGACAGTTTTATTTTATTAGATTTTTAGTTTTAGCAATTCTGAGATATGGTTAGTTAGTAAAGTTAAATGACAAAAAGAATAAAATGATTTTATTTTGAATATATGCAACAATTAAACATGAAGTACAAACCTGTCCTAGGTTAAGAAATGTTACAGCATATCTTGGGTCTGTGCTATCCCTATAGCCTTCTTGACCACCATGATAAAATTCAACATTACTTATTCTTGCTTCTCCTAGGAAAGGGGAAAAAGATACATAATTCTTGAAAATTGTTCAAAATTTTCACTGAAACCTCATTATTTTTTTCTTTCTTCTTTTTACCCAAGCAAGGCAGTGTTTCTTAACCTTTTTTTCATTGCCCCCATGAGGCATCTTTTTAGACTTTTTTCTCCTAATCACTCCAACATTCCATGAAATTTTAATGCCACAAATAAACTGTGTGTCTTTTAACATATGGTAGCCCTTTGGAAGGTCACAAGCCATTGTAACATCTAAGTTTTTCTGTTCCCCAAGAATCAATTTTCTTATGCCCCACTGAGAATGCATGGCATAAGGTACAAGGTATAACTGACCTGACGATTCAATTCTGATACTGAATACCTTTTAAGGGCAATATCTTTATATAATTTCGTTCAGATTGTACAGTGAAAAGTATCTTCTGGTTAGTTTGTCATAGTGCTATTGAAGTAGCAAGAGGCAATTTCATAGATTAGTAATTGCAGCAATAGCAATCCGTGAGAGATTACTCTGTGCCAAATGCTGTATTGAGTGTTTAACAGGCAATGTGTGGTTTAATTCTCCTAAAACATCCTATGAATTATGCATTTTTATCATCTTATCCTCTATACAAGTAAACTGAAGCACAATTTCAGAGCTGAGAAAAAGCTGTATTGAATATTCCTTGTTTCAAAAACTGATAGCTAATAGGATGAAATGAAGAAGTTATTTTATTTTGTACAAGAAGAGGAAGTTTGTAGGAGAATCCATGGTCAAGCAACTGGATGCATGGTGGAGGACACAAAAATAGTAAGGTATCTGTAGAGACACAGAGGAGATGGTCAGACAGATCATCCAACTCTACCAAAGTCATAGGTATGTTTTTAACTCACATCACAAAACAATACAAAGGAGCAACAAAAGATTTTCATGGGAATCATAATGGGATTTGAAGTTAGACAGACATGGATTAGTATTCAAGGTCATAGCAACTGCATTCTTCTGACCATTTATTTCTTCATCTTTAAATATTTATATCATAGTATTATGAAGATTAAAGGACATAATACATGATAAGTACTTAACACAGTACCTAGGATCATATATCATGACCACCACCATCATTTAAACTTCTATTGATAGATTGTGACAAATAGGTAAAGGTTCTAATGGAGTGATGTGTGCTCGATATGAAGATTTCCTAAAGTTAGAGCTATTGCAAAGCGGAATAAGCAGTACCGAGGACAAGTGACAACCAGCTGAAATAGGTTCAGCCAAGAATGGATGATCTGCTCCTGGAACCCATATTGTGGGATCCCAATGCCAGCTTCTACAAAAAGGACCAGGGTTACTTGGAGGAAAGACTGATTCTCAGTTTCAGAAAAAAAAATTTAAATAGGTGCTTGTTGTATTAGAAAGCAAAGAGGCTTAAAAAACCTAAGCTATGTCAAAAGAACTTAGACATCAACAAGCAAAAGTTCTAAAGACCAACAATGGGACATTTGAGGCATCAATAAGATTAACAACCACAATGGACTCAAAAAACCAAACCAAACTCACTGCTGTTGAGTCAATTCGATAATGGATTTGTCACTGTTGTTAGGTGCTATCGAGTCATCTCTGACTCATAGGGACCCTATGCACAGCAAAATGAAACACTGCCCGGTCCCGTGCCAGCTCCACGATCCCTGCTATACTTGAGCCCATTGCTGCAGCCACTGTGTCAATCCATCTCGTTGAGGGCCTTCCCCTCCTTCGTCAACCCTCCACCCTACCAAGCGTGAAGTCCTTCTCCAGGGAATGGTCCCTTCTGGCAACATGACCAAAGTAGGTGACACAAAGTCTGGCCATTCTTGCTTCCAAGGAGAATTCTGGCTGCACTTCCTCCAGGACAGATTAGTTAGTTCTTTTAGCAGTCCATGGTACTTTCAGCATTCTTTGCCAGCACAACAACTCAAAAGCATCAATTCTTCCATCTCTCTTATTCATTGTCCAGCTCTCACATGCATATAAGGTGACTGAAAATGTTATGACTTGTGTCAGGTGCACCTTAGCCCTCAAGGAGACATCTTTGCTCCTCAGCACTTGAAAGAGTTCCTTCACAGCTGACCTGCCCATTGCTATACATTGTCTGATGTCCTGACTGCTGCTTGCATTGGTGTCGATTATAGAACCAAGCAATGTGAAGTCTTTGACAACTTCATTCTTTTTTCCATTTATCATGATGCTGCTTATAAGTCCAGTTGTGAGGATTTTTGTTTTCTTTATATTGAGATGTAACCCATAGTACAGACTGTAGTCTTCAATCTTCATCAGTAAGTGCTTCAAGTCATCCTTACTTTCAGCAAGCAAAGTTGTGTCGTTAGTGTATCACAGGTAGTTAATGATTCTTCCCCCAATCCTGATGCCACATTCTTCTTTACATAGTCCAGCTTCTCAGATTATTTGCTCAGCATACAGATTAAATAAATATGGTGAAAGAATGCAACCCGGATGCACTCCCTTCTTGATTTTAAACCATGCAGTGTCCCCTTGTTCTGTTCAAATGACAGCCTCCTCGTCTATGTACAGGTTCCTCATGAGTACAATTAAGTGGCTGGAATTCCCATTCTTCTCAATGTTATCATAATTTGTTATGATCCACACAATCAAATGCTTTTGCATTGTCAATAAAACACAAGTAAACACCTTTCTGGTATTCTTTGCTTTGAGCCAAGATCCATCTGATATCAGCACTTTATCCCTCATTCCACATCCTCTTCTGAATTCAGCTTGCATTTCTGGAAGTTCTCTGTCAATATACTGCTGCAACTGTTTTTGAATTATCTTCAGTAAGATTTTATTGTGTGTGATATTAATGATATTGTTGGGTAATTTCCACATTCTAGAATGTGATCACCTTTCTTTGGAATGGGTACAAATATGGATCTCTTCCAGTCAGTTGGCCAGGT